TATGGAATAAAACAGGTCTCTGACGAATAAATAGCAATTTTATCAGTGTCTCTGTAATTGGACATTAATTGTAACGTATTTTTATTTTTATATACAATCACGTGATCCTGTTCAGTGAACGTCTGCCCTAATAATAATGGAACGCGCAGCAAGTTATCGGGTACAATCAAAGCCTCTAAGTCAGCTTGAACATTATCTATCTCTATTGTGACATAACATTTACCAAGGCAATCGACTACCGAATCACCGAAACCCCGCAAAGTAGGTAAATCAGAAACAGACCAGTTTTTAACGAGAGTTTTGGCAACCGATTCTTTTAACATAGTACATTGACTACCGAAATCAATAAAACAATCTAAAACCTTATCATTCACCTTAGCTGGTTTAAAATATTTGGAGTCGTTATCATTATATTGGGAGATACGTAAAACAGTTTTATTACTATTAGAATCATTCTTTGACTCACAAGCGTTCGCTAAATGACCAACTTTATGACATACTTCACATCGTTTTATGGGTTGCTTACACTTATAGTATGGATGTCCCAACTCACCACAATTATAGCACTTATTACTACTGGGCTTACTTTGAGATGGATTATTTACATTTTTAATAAATTTTGGGCGTTTGATGTCGAAAGCATTTGAATTTGAAGAAGACTACTTTTGACATTTCTAAGGAATACTAATAGTTTATCAGGATCCGTAAACTGCGCCGCTTCAGCACTCGTCCTTATTAATTTATCTTCAATCCCATATAAAATACAATCTGTAGCATTTTTACCGGTTATTGAGCATATATTTAGCAAAACCATTTTCTCGTAGTAATATTCCTCTAAAGAATCACCAAATCGTGCTTTGAAAGCCAACATTTCCGACTACAAATGTCCATAATTTTCATCACTAGGAAATGCATGTCTAAGTTTATCCTGCCACTCTTCCCAACTAAAAAATAAGCTAGGCAAACCCTGGTACCATTTTTGTGCAAATCCAACTAGTTTAGGCAACGCATATGGATGGTTTGCCTCTCATTCCATCCATAAATGCTACGGCATTCATTTACTTTCAAAATCCAAGTATCCATAGTCTGATTTCGTTTAGATGGATCAAACTCTGGTATAACATTCATGGATGGAAAATGATCAATTTCATTACTATTATCTGGCTTTAAAGCCTGTATTAAATCTTTAAAAGTCTCTAAGAAAATTGGATTAGGTTAAACAGATGTACTTGCTATGGGAGAACGTCGGTCTTGAGTCTGCTCTTGGGGAAGTGGGGTTTCGCCTCGCATTCTTTGGACTACAGGACTACGGGTTACCTGATCGCGTCTCGATATTTTATGCGATGGCGCTGAGAATCCTGCACTGCTCTCGATCTGCTTCGCGGCACGTGACGGCTCCGAGTGTCATGGCGGTTATCGCTACGATTGCGTCGCGTGCGCTTATTACGCGAGGCACGCCTGCTACACTGCTCCGGACTGCCATCAGAGTCTGATGTACGCGATGAACTTCTATAGTTATCTTCATTACGCATTCGTTTGCGTGATACTCTTTTATTTCCCATGATTACTGTATTTTCGGGCATTAAGTCCTCGATCAAGAATATAAGCTCGATGTAATCCCGCTTTCTGAAGTTGAAAGCAATCTAAATAAAATACTCGTCTTGCACAAATCACTTTTATTATGCACTTCACTTAGTACACTATTTTCTAAGCGTCTTTTCCACGCCAAGAACTTGAACCGAATGACCGACCGCGTGACTTGCCAGTTGTTTTATAGTTTTCACTCTTTTGTCAAATCAGCAATGGTACATTATTTCAACCTCGTGGCAACGGCAAGTCGCGCGACCGGATAAAGTCAAATAAGCAACTTACAACCAAGTTCATACTACCCAATTACATTAATTGACAGCAATATTTACATCGATTGTTAACAGAAGTATTACTAACTTAAGAATATTTTTTTTTTGTGGAAAAATAAATATTCAGAATTTTCTTTAAATCTAGCAAAAATTAACTCTTCCTAAACGGAATGATTTTCGTTGAAATAAAGAATAGAAAAGATTGGTTTCTTGAACAGCTGGACTTTCTGCTGATAGGGGGCAAAAGATCTTTTATGAATAATGTGTTAAAGTTTGCTGCAAATGCAGATATCATTCAGTGCCGCAATTATATTATTCTTTATAGAGCAATCAAAAAGAAAGCAAGCTCTTTCTGCTTTTAAAGGGTATGGAGCGTATCTATGCGTAAGTATATGGCAGAAACCGGGGAGGTATGCCAAGATTTTACAGATCAATTTACACACCATTTTACAAACTGAAGACATAACGGTCGTGATTCGGCCATCAGTTAACATTCCACACTTCACGTTCATTTTCCTTCAAACTAGTAATTATTTTTTATGTAATTGAATTTATAAAATATCGAATGTTAATCATCCTTAATTTTATGTTGTGTGATATAAACCATTTTCAAGTGAATTATAATTTTATTTACATAAGCTCCATTTTGTGAGAAATCCGATTTCCTAACATACAGGGTGTATCATAAAGACCAACTTTATTGATGGTAAAAAGAACGGTCTCTTTCTTTTTTTTGGGGCAAGCACGGTGAGAACGATCGCTCGGTCATTCTCATGCATCTTATTTTGATCTCACTATAATTTGAGCAATTGCTTAAAATTAGACTTGCAACGAATAGTATATTCGGCAGTATACCGAATACCGAATATTCGGCGAGGCCCCTGACCACAACTTTAGCGCCAAAAAATTCTACAGAAGTGATTGTTTCGCGCTCCTTTGTTTTGTTCTAATCTGCCGTCCTCAAGCTAAAATGCGGCAAAATGACAAAACCAACTTTTGAGATATGGCCAAAAACGGCGCGTAAACTTTAAATTATTGCTATTATGTAACCATTCATCACATGACTGAATGAATTAAAAACTGTTAAATTGTTTAATACAGAAAATGATTAAATTATGTACCTGTTTTATGTACCAATGACTACTTAATAAATGATTATAAACGAAATGAGAACCTTACCCTTCTATATATATTTATTAATACATAGAATCCTCCATTTTTCCAATTCTGAAGATGATTATGTACCTGTGTTATGTACCAATGACTACTTTAATGATTATATAACAGAAATGAAAATATGAATATATACGTAATCAATCGATTTTAATTTTTCATTTTACCAATTATTTCTCTATGACAAAATATATTATTTAAGTATTTGGTATTCGGCCGAATATAATAAAAGCAGCCGAATAGGTCGAATACCGAATAGTAACCGAATATTCGTTGCAAGTCTACTTAAAATGTGGCGTATGACTAGGGCTGCCATCTCTAAAATGTGGCAACCAGGATCAGAGGCGTGATAACCCCGGATTTTGGAGCCCAGAACCCGGACAGACCAATAAAAAAACAGTTAAAAATGTCACAAACCAACTTTTTTTTGTTGATATAGGCAAAAGAGCTAGCTGTCTACCCTCATAATAAGTGGTCACTGCTGCCCATGGACACTTGCAGCACCAAGGAAAGCTGATCTTTGTTGGAAGTCTGCATTTATGGTTACAGTGTTAGAATAGATTTATTCATTTTCAAAGACATTTAAATTGACGGATTAATTGGCAACCCAAAACAGGAAATTTTTAAACCCGGACGACAAATGAAACCCCGCCCGGACGCTCCCCGGACGCCCCGTAAACTAGGACAAATCCGGGGAAACCCGGACGGATGGCAGCCCTACGTATGACCATAATTCGCTTTAGTCATAATTGGACATTCAAACACGCTGCTTGTGTACTCAATATAACAATATTGCGTATTTTTTGTGTTATAAAGATAAAACAATGCCTTCGAGCTTTTATAAAGAACACAAATAGTTGAAAGTCAAATAACAAACGTCTCGGCAACACTTTTCATTCGTAAAACTGTAAAAAAAAAACTCAAAAATCACGGTTTGTCGTGAATATTATATTTACGTAATCGCCATTTTGTTATCAAGATAAGGACAACAATATAGCTCAGCCGTACGAACTCGAAAGCGGATTCGCCGTTTCGGCGGAGGCGTATAGTTCTCTCTCGCTCTCTCGTTTGAATGTTTATTTATAGACATGTGCGTGTGAGAGTTGCTTATGTAGTTGAGTCGGATCATATTTTATTTGATGCTAGTATGAGTGTACCGTACCTTCCCTTTTTGTTTTAATCTAAGGTGCTGGCAGTATATAAAAAATTCAAGAAAACAGACGAATTACTTACGACTAGATTCAGCATACTCTGTAGATTGATTCAGGAAGTGTTCACAAGATTTTGCACGAGCACCTTTGCGTAAGGAGGATAGTTTCCCGCTGGGTGTCGCACAACCTCACTGAAGCTCAGAAGCAGGCCCGTGTGGATTGGTGCAGTGATATGATACAAAAATTTGATGCAGGCGTCTTTTCGTTTCGGGGTTTTTTCTGCAATGAGCAACAAGCGACCTAACACCGGGCTCCGCGTGGTCCTTCTTCAGCACGACAACGCGCCCGCGCACTCTGTGATCAAAACGAAGGACTTCCTGGACTCCACTGATCTCCAAAGTCTTGGGACACCCTCCTTACAGTCCTAATTTAGCTCCGTGTGACTTTTTTTTATTCCCTAAAATAAAAAATCAACTCAAAGGGATACAGTTTTCATTGCCGGAAGAATGGCTAGCAGCGTTTGAGAATGCCGTGGAAGAGGTGTCTGCGGAGGACTGGAGAAAATATTTTGAAAATTGGTTCAGACGCATGAAATTTTGTATAGAGGCTGGTGGAGAGAACTTTAAAAAGATTTAATAACTTTTTTTTCATAGAAGTTAGGTTTTTAGTTTCTCAAAACTTTCTGAGTGTCCCCCGTATTGGTGAGGCATCAAGAAATGCAACCATGCTCTCGTAGATCCAGAGCTTTAACACTTCCGGTAACATAGTGGGAAATAAGCCATCTGGATGTCCGGAAAACGTTAAGTTGGTTGCAAACTCTGTGCGACGTCAACTTCGATTAATCGTTACAAAACGTCGGGCTTAATTAGGACTGCGTTCTGATTTGCATCTCAAGATATACAAAATTTTGGTCGTGCAGTCACTATATGAATCTGATTATGTTTCAAGACTGAATTTTGCCAACCAGAGATTCGTTAGTGACCGTTTTCAGTGGTGAAGCACATTTCCACCTAGACGGGTATGTGAATCGTCAAAATTGCCGTTTCTGGGGAGATTCTAATCAAAAAAAGCTTCACCAACATCTTTTGCACAGAATGTTACGTTATGGGTGGCTAAGTCGGCAATCATTGGAGTATACTTTTTTCAAGGCGTAAGGGGCAGAACAGTCACTGTAACTTTGGCGTGTTATGTCGACATGATCCACAACTTCATCCCGAGCTTTAAGAATGCTTACATTACGAACAGACTTTTTCAGCAAGATGGAGCCACGTCCAATACAACCAACAACCCGATAGAAACTCTACACGAAATGTTCACAGGAAAAGTCATTTTAATTTTAAAACAGAAATATTTATTCTTATGTTTCACTTTACTTGTAATTGGAATAGGTCAATCGTGTAGTTGAAATCCAGAGAATAATAAAAAAACAAGAAGGAATAAAAACAAACTACTGAAAATTTTATTTTATATTAAAACTATCAATCAACAAGTATAAAGCTGATAAAAGTGAAGCCTAATTTTAAAACAGTAAAAATGCTAATTGCCAATTTTAGGCCTAATATTGAGTTGAGCGTTGATTACACAAATTCATCTACATCGATTTAATTTAGAGCCTTGTTATTTCTGAGCTGATGTTGGTGTCTTTCTTCTTATACGAATGAGTAGGGTATATAAAATGTTGAGAGTAATAAGTGGCGGAGTGCGGTTCACCGGGGCTTTTCGTTGAGTTGATGCGTCGATAGTATTCTACATTCTCGCCACAGTCGCACGCCAGTCTACTTTCAGATCCACTGCTCTCCAGCTGATATTTGGGTACAACGATCAGGCTCTCGGTGGATTTGGTTGGAGCGCAGTGACTGTGACTCCTAGTATAAACGGAGTAATGGTGTTGAGTAGCACTTTGCCGATGAGCGTGTTTCTCTTGATGATGTTGATACTCATGATGACTTTGGGTACTGCGCCCACTGTGACTTCTACCGTGACTTTTAGAGCGATTTGTGTGCTTAGTACTTGTGTCCAAATATCCATATCCGAAACCGTAGCCACCGAATGCTTTAGTTGTTAAGTTGTCCCAAGATTTGGGCTTGACATGAGAATGAGCACTTTGATATTGGATTTTCGGCGAGGATTTTGCCTCCGACCTATCGTTATCCCAAAATAGGGTATCACTGCTCAGGGAGGTACTATAGCTGGAGGCTGAGTTATCACAGGGGGCAGTTGCGTTACTAGTCGCGTAAGATTGCAAACTACATTGACTGGTTTGAGTAGATTCTGTTGTTAAATATCGATATCGGCTTGAGCAATGTCCCGATGAACAAACTTTCTTGGAGCGTGAGTGTGAGCAGCCTCTCTCGTCTGGCTTTTGCGTCGATTTATCCACTTGTTGACACTTGTCTTTTCTTTTATGCTCTTTTGAACATTCTTTTTTTCGTCGCAATTTCTTTCTTGTGTTCGGCACACAGTGCGGGTCGCAACAAGGGCTGGCTAGATCATAAGCTTCAAGACTGTTCGCATCTTGGTTGTTATAATTTGGCATGCAAGGAGCGCAACTGTGGCTATGGTTACTTCTGTGAACCTTAGTGTGTTTGGTATTCGCTGCTTTATATGTTTCTGAGGCTCGATGGCATTCGGCTGGCGCCTTGACTACATAGTGATGACACTCGCGTTTATTTCTCGGAGAACCAACGGTAATGACGAAACTACCTGTTCTAATACTAGGTTGTATGACACACGCTCCATACCTAGGGTCTAAATACTGATACATAAATACGTTACTTTGCGGGGGCTTAGCGGCAGTGACATTCTCACTCGAAAGCGTAGGTCTACAATACGAAGTGTTAACATTCTCGCCGATATTGTTGTCCTCCGAATCGGATATCGCATCGGACGGTGAGTTTTTCTTTTTTTGCGAGGGCAAGCTGTGTGTTTTCCAGTTGGAATCAAATAGCTGCCTTTCGCGGACGGTGAGTTGTTCTAGTTCTCTCATTTTGGACTGGATAGCTCGTTGTAGGTTGATATACTTCAGATGGAGTTCGACCTTGCGCACGCAGTCCTCAAAGATGACGACCATGCGCATGCGGGTGTCGCAGCCGTTGATGGCGTCGACGATGGCGGTGTGGTCGGCGCGTTCAACGTCCACCCCGTTGATGGAGAGGATGACGTCACCCTCTCGCATGCCAGCCGCTGCTGCTGGTCCCTCCACTTCCACGTGATCCACGTAAGTGATAACTTCGATTTCTTGTTCCTGTATCACAATATCAATAATTAGTTGCAAAAAACTTATTTCCTCTTGCAATTCTCAAATGACATTTTGCTTTCATTAAGAACAGTACATAATTATAAAATTAATAAAGTTCTAAAATAAGAAACTTCTTGGGAAATTAGAAATAGTTTTAATTGATATATAAATTTATATATAAATCATGAAAAAGAACTCCATTTAGTTTTAGTTTCCAAAAATATAAAACTATTTCTAATTTCCCAAGAAGTCTACAAGTAGGTACTGAGAGATTTTGGGATAGCTGTGTTTGGTGCATTATTATTATATTATATTATTGGACAAAGAGCTAGCAAACAATTAATTAACTCCGTTTTAAATTTCGCTTATTTGCCATTTTTACGTTATGAATTATCATTTTCTCTATATCTATTATCTTAAAAACTATTGGACTTATCTTTTGTATTTATTTTATTTCGGTTGTATAGTTTTTAATGTTTTAAGAAAAATTTTAAAAATTAACCACATTATTCATCAGCTAGTGGTACGAAGTTCGCCGGGTCAGCTAGAATTATTATAAATTATTTAATTACTTAAGTATATATTATTGTGCTATGAAACAAATATAATTATGAATTAATTATTTTTTTAAGATTGCCTTTGTAGGTCTTGGAAACAGGTTAAAATAAAAATTCGCTTAAGCATAATCAATCATATAAGATAGCAAAATTATATATCAATTACCTAAGTAACCGGTAACAAACTGTTAAATAGATTTATTAATAGCTCAGCTCGGACAGTTCATCATGAAAACGTTCTTAAAACTTATGTCCATATTTTTACCTTCTTGTAATGTATTCCGTAGCTTTGCAATGTGAAACCGTATGTGCCATTTTTTTTCTCCACGATGATAGTACGCCTTCGCCAGTCTTCTTCGCCCTTTCCTCCAGATCTCTCAGATTTCCCCGACTCCCTTATCTAAAACAAAAAAAAAACAATGTGTTATACGATCCTTACAAGTTAATATTGTCGGACATGTAAAAAAGGTACTTACAGAGTTATCCAAAGAGTCTTCCTTTGATTCGTTGTTCAGCAATTTTTTCCCGTTGCTCAAACTGCTCGGACATCTTTCGTTGAGTTTAGGGGAGCTCATGGTGCTAGAGCCCGAATACGGGCTTCTGTCCACTCTGCTACCGTGACTTCGGACACATACCCGATATTTCTTTTACTTCTATTTAAAACTAGAGTTTATTGCCTCCGTCATTCTACTGTTTTTGCTATTTACCTGTACATTTGGGCGCGACAAATCATTAATGTGTTTGGCGCATGCGCGTGTACGACGCATGCGTAAAAAGTTTCCGCTTTTGGAAAAATACGAGAAAATAACTGTACTTTAATCGATGTTACCACAATTGCCACATTAAGCTTTTAGTAGTATGGATTAGGTATTTTATAAAACCTAATAATGACTTGGCTTGATGTATGACAAGATTATATTATACATTCACACAATTTCCAAATAACGTAGCCTGCCTCTTCTGTCTGCATTGGTCTTTCTGTATGTATGTTCGCGATAATTTTAAATAGGTACTACGGAACTTATTTTCATACGATTTTCACTTTCAGTAAGATAAATTTTCATGGAAGCTTGGGTTTAAAATAATTCTTATTATTGCAAACTCGAGCACTGTATCTAAAGTTTATACAGAAGCGATATTCGGTCAATAGTTTACCAATAGATGATGTGCCTCAATAAAGTACATAGCTACAATAAAAAACAATAATAGAAAAAATGGAAATTGGACAAAGTGATTCATGTTGAACTTAATATAATACCTACCGTCGAAATCACAAATTCACCAATGTTGATAAGCAGCGTGTCAAAGCGCTTAGATGACCTGAATAAAATTGTAAGATATACTTACCTACGCACATAATTGAAACGAGATAAGTTGGCTATCTAAACGCAATAAGACTTTTAGTTGCGTGTGCTATATTCATTTGTTGCACATCATACATTAATATAACAACAGAACGTAGTTTAGTAAATTAGTAGATTAGTAAAAACTGTGGTACTGCGTAGGTTTCATATTTTCCCCTGTAAGTACTTGCAGAAACTATAGGACGATATTACTAGCCAAATTGCATAGACTGGGTACGGAAAATACCAATAAATATACCGTTACAATAATAATACAACTTTGATTCCCTTGAGAGTGTCGAAATATACGTTTTTTTGTAACAGGCCGTTTTTAGCAATCTTTTTCTCACTATAATAACTGAGAAGTTTGATTTTATTACAGCTGAAGGGTTCGTAGACCTGAGTATATGGTTTTTAACTCGATATTGCTGTGTGTTCCCGAAATAAAGGGTCTTGGCAGAGGCAGACGGACAACAAAGTGATCCTATAAGGGTTCCGTTTTTCCTTTTCAGTTACAGAACCCTTTTTTTATTAATGTCTGGAAATGCTTTACGTATTCTCCAGCCACCGGGAGAAGCGAAGCGGAGTAATCCGGACCTCCCACCCTAAAAACAAATTACCGATTGATTTTGATTACATGTTGTTTCTTCTACGAATGAGAGCGGGTATTTTTCGGTGTAAAACTATTCTTAGTGTCAATCCTTTAGATACTTAGCAGGGAGCTAGGTAGGTATGTACCTAATTTGGTCTGATTATAATAATAATAATAATAAATATTTCCAACACTCACACCAATTAACCTAGCCCCAAAGTAAGCACTGTAAGGCTTGTGTTATGGATGCTAGGGATAGAATACATATACTGTACATATATAAGTATATTTATATAGAAATACATATTAAACATCCATGACTGGAGTACAAATGCTCGTATTCATCACACAAACATCTGCCCCCACCGGGATTCGAACCCGGGACCTCTCGAGTCGGCGACACCATGAAACCCGGCGTACAAACCACTCGGCCACGGAGGTCGTCATTAGTGGTATTGATATTTAAATTTACGTATTCCCTGGTAATTCTTTGACATGTTGTTTTGTTAATTAAATAAGTAGGTATCTTATATTAAAATAAATATTCCTTGATGCAAAAAGCCCTTTATTTTTAATGATTCAGGTATGCAACTATTAAACGTTATCTGTACCTAAGGTGTTTAATGCAATAAGCAATGTACATGTACTACCTATCTATTAATTGTCCATGATTTAAGGGTGCCGTACGAGGGTGTTGATCCTAGCGTAATGTACAATAGATGTATTGGGAATCGGCACTGGTATACTAGAAAGATTATTATTGAGTGCCATCAGAGGAGGTATAGCGATAGACTGAACTCCTGTCGCCTGTGGTACTACTACTGCGCCTTTCACTACTTCAACAGTAGTTTTGTTGCCAGACAATTCCCTTTTGAATAAGTTTCTCATTTTGTGAATATTTTCATTGATCGCTGATATTACTTTGAAATTATTGCGGCGTACTCTCGATGATTTTATGTTGTCTGTAAAGAAAAATATGTATTAATTACCGAACGTTTTTTTTAAATTTAGCCTTCATAGTCAAGGAAAATTACCGATTGTAAGTACGGGCAAGTTTGCGTCAAATCTGGTAGTTCTGATTTTTGCAGACTAGTTTATGATGTGACGTCGAGCACCTAATGCAACTATGTCAAAAATGTATGAAATCGATCGAATCGGCGATTAAAACTCTAAAGGGCTTTAAATCTAAAAATCAACAGTTAAATGCTTAGGAAATAAAATAAATAATAACAAAGGACTTGTTCTCAATAGTAGGTATCTTTTTAAAACGTTTTTTAAATATACTTTATTTTTTACAATATGAGACTAGATTTTTTTCTGTTGTTTCTGAGATAAAGCTTGTGTGTAAAATTCATAGTTGACGACGTCACTCGAACATTTCAAGCGGCTTGTAGTTCCATCCAATTACCTCCAACGGACTAGTATACAATTACTTTACTAGTATTGCTCGCGAGATAACAGCAGCAGGAGAGCGAGGCATAATAATTGTTCTAGAATAATAAACTTTGAAAAGCTCTGCCTTAGAAGCTATTGAGTTTACAGAGACAATTCTAGTCTCATATTGTATCAAATTTAGTCTACCTTAAAAAACCTGAGAAAGTAATATCAAAAACTAGCCTTTTAAGGTAATAATCACCAAATTCTGAAAAAAACGAAATTTAACGCTGATGCTCCAATTTTTGATAAAGTTGCGTTCGGTGTTCGTAGTCAAAAACTTGGATTTTCATAGGGTTAACTTCATTAACGAGTCTGCAGAAATTCTGAACTACCTAACTAACTACTAACTAAAGGAGATTGCTCAAGTTGGCCTAAATGCACAAAAAATATTGTCATACACGGTAATTCTTGGCGTAATTTATTATTTAATTTACAGTCATTTGATTTCAACGGACACCTTTGTATAATATATTTACTTTAAAAATGACTTTTAATTTTACCGGTTTGGAAAACATACGAATCATTTTTAATGGCTATGGGTGTAGTAAAATTCAGCCAAAGACTGATCGAAGTTGTTTATATAACAATAAAAACAAATCTATTATGTAAAGATCGATAAAATAAATCATTTTTTTTATTACACTGTATTAATATCCACAACTATATTATCATTTTCACTAGATGCAAATGTGCTCAGACAATTATTATAGAAGGTAGGCGACATCATAAAGTCTATTGCCATACATTTTTCGCCAAACACCACCATAAACACATTAAAATCTGTATATATGTTAGACTTTAAGGTATCTATCTATGGGCCTACGTTCCCTGACTATAAATTAATAAATAAATAAAATTATAAGGTGTGATACACTAAAAATCTAAAATATGGTTATTTTAAAAACATAACAAAAATAATGAAGCTACTGAATATATGGCTATAGAACCTAAATCTCTTAGCTTTATTTGGTTAAAGAGAGTTTAAAAATTGGCTCTAATCTGTGGCTCATTCACAATCATCACACAGTTACTGTCACAGAGTACCTACCTTATAATAGCCGGAAATGACACTTGATTTTAAAAGTTACTCTTATGCATTAACTTTAAAAACAGGCAACTATCTGTTAATCTACAGGCTCTATATATCTGAATCTAATCCATAATTTCGGTAATTGGCTTGATTTCCCTAGTTTACTATATAACTTATTTGTTTTTTATTATTTTAATATGTTCAGTGTATATGGTTTATAAAAGTTCTCAGGGGTGTCCGTCAATAATATTCGTTTCTACAGTAATTTATATATAATTTCGAATCTAGGAAACAATTTTTCATGATTATTGGTCTTTAGGCCAAACATGTATGGAATCTGAGCAATCTCCTTTACTGGACTAAAACTTTGAAAGTCTTTATTCCGGGTCTACAGAGACAATTTCTGTCTCATATTATAGAAATTTAGTCCTACTTTAAAAACACAAACAAAGCCGAAATGTTAGCTGTTTTATCGTTTTTTGACATATTTGTCTTGTTTGAGTATTCATGAGGCCATCATCCTAAACAAGTCTGCTAAAAATCAGAACAACCGGATTTGAGGCACACTCTGAAGTATTAATTTTAATGGACTATTATCGCTTAAAAGTTGCACACCACCAACCGTAACTGCTTATTTTACTCACTTGATTTTGTTGAAAGCGCATCTTCCGGCAAAACAGTTAAATGTTTCAGATCATTCCATGCAATCAGAGGTTTTCCCATCATTCCACCTAAAGAATTATCCTTTGGGGCTACTTGTACCATGCTTTGTGCTGTCACATTGGTCAACAACGGCTCAGGGATATTACTTAAATCTATTTTAGAACCATTAGTTCTGTACAAGGTGATAGCTTCTTGATTTCCCCTAGAAGGTATACAATGTAATTTTTAAAGGGCGTAATTTTATAACCTTGACTTTCCGGGATAAAAGCTGAAAAGTTTGTTAATGTGACATGAAACGGCAGGGTCAGAGAAGATCTGATTTTTCATTCATACATACTTACATTGATGAAGTTTGATTTTTGTCGCCCGTTTTGTTGGTTATAATACCTACTTGGTATACCAACGCGTTAATGACATACCTAAAATACCATAAGTATGATATTATTAAAAAGTCCCTTTTTATGAAATTAAGTATTTACTCAGCTAACAGATGTTCACTTACATATCTTTGGTAGGAGCCGTACTATTGTTTGTAGTATTCCCAGAATCAAGATGAGTACATTGTACGACTTCCAATATACATGTCACCATTGTACACGCCATCTATGCATAGGTCTGAATTATTTTTCTTATTAAAATAGTAAATTACCCAAATGACTGGTAACGTTTGATGCCTGCATGTACGTACGTATGTATGACCCTTCTCTTGTGAATTAGTGACCTGTATCCTAAACAGCTTGCCCGATTGTCAAGAGTTATACAACACTATCGATGGAAATCTAATCAAACAGGGCATGAGGACTTCTTAATATGTAGTTCCCGGATTTCAATAAATTTCACATTGAAAAGAAAAAGACTAAATCTTTATCATATTTTGCATTAAATACTCATCATGTACTGCGGATCCCTAAACACTTATTACGGACCTCTAAGTGTCGCCGCACACGGGCCACCGACTACAACCACAAACTTTCATACACACACACACACTTTCATTGCAAGGAATTTAGACAAGCCTCAAGCAAAATAGCAGTTTTCAACACCTTGGTTAGATCTGGTTTAGAATACTGCAGTGTGATTTGGACACCGTATTACGAGGTTCATAAACAACGTATTGAATCCGTATTAAAAAGGTTCTTGGGGCACTTAACTTATAAACACTACTTGTCCAAACAACTACCCACATACAGATCGTTTGATTCACTTTAAGCTTAACGGTCTCGAAAATCGACGTAAAATGCATGATCACATTTTCTTTTTCAAATTACTAAACGGTCACTTAGATTGCTCACACTTGTTAGCGCAGATTAACTTTAATATCCCATATAAATCTGCTCGACCTTCACGTTATGCACCTTTCCGAGCAGGGGCTTCCAGAACTAACCTTGGTCATTTTTGTACCATTAATAGACTTCAGTCACAATATAACACACTATCACGTACGCTGGCCGCTTCATCCAAACACAGTGATATAGACATGTCTTCTTCTCTTCGCAAATTTAAGTCTGCTCTTTTAGACTCCTTTGTACCCACATAGATCAATCATATTATTGTTAAGCATACCGCCACAACGGCGTCGATTTTGGCAGCGTGCTCTAGGCCTAGACTTGGATTAGGCGGCAGTGTATCCTTGTCATTCTCAATACAGAGTGCAAGTGAGGGACTGGTGTTGGATCGGTTTTTGGGTCTGGAGAATGATGTCAGAATGGATATTAATATGTATCTTATATTTAGTTTTATAGTTTTGAAGTGTTTGTACTAGATTCTCTTATTTTTGTTTCGTAAGTCTACTTCGTAAGCAAATTTTTTACGCATGCAGTGGCAGCCTTTAAGTAAGGCAGCACTAGGAATTGTTTTCTTTATTGCTTTCTCAGTTGTATTTTTATTTGGTGTTTGTATTGTTGGCTGTCCTTAATTAATAAATAAATAAAAAAATAAATAAAATACATTTTATATGGATTCGCCACACACGGTACGCCGCGGGTGGCCGCCACACGCTAGACCCAAATCGGTCTAGTACCCATTGGACCCTCCTAATTGGACCTTACCTACAAAAAAGTGCCCGTTCGACCATGGTGATGATCAAGAACATGGTGCCCATTGGACCCTCAAAGACGTACTTAACGACACAATGAGAGCTATTGGAGCTCTTAACTATTTGGCTAATTCTTTTGGAACGATAAAGTACAGTCGTGTAGTAAAGTAACATTGTAAAAGACATAAAAACACAAAGGTTATAAATCTAAGTATTTAATCAACATATTTATAAAATTCAAAACACTCATCATCAGTAACAAACCAATATAAATATTTACATAAAATATAATAATCAAATCACAGATTTTTTACTTTACTTTTAAAACCAATAGAAATTATTTTTTATCAAATAGCTTAACTAAATTATAAATATGGTTTGTTATATCACACAGATTAAGCACAATTATTATATATTCTAAGTATTGATAACATAAATAAAAGCACAAAGGTTATAAATGTAAATATTTAAAATCAATATATGTATTTATAAAATTTGAAACATCAATCATCAGCAACAAACCATATAATATTATAATCAAATCACAGATTTTGTTATTTTACTTTTAAAAAGAAATGTTTTTTATCAGATATCTTAACTAAATTATACATACAGTTTTTATATCACTCAGATTAACTTTTGAAGCACAATTATTAAGTATTCTAAATATTCATAAAATAAAATACCAATGTAATATTTTCATATTACATTTTATAAAAAATGTTTTCTAATCATATTTTTACAATTAACGAGAAATTGCTTATTATAAAAACACTAGCAAACCAGTGAACCAAATGTACAGCACCACAGACAGACGGACGGATGGACTTGTCTAATAGATAAGAGATACTTTAACAAAAGGATATGGTTGAATTTGAAAGTTTGTATAACATGAATATATACTTTGATTTTTATATTCATTACCGATTATTTTAAAATCGTGTTTAATAATTAAACAACTTTGTAAGTATGCTGGCCATCCTATCTTAGTAACGTCATATTTTTAGTGCGTGGTGGCTTATAACGTCAACTCAATCACTATGGCAAAGGACAATGTTAAAATTGGCCTAAGAACCAACACCAATTTGGCATTTATGAGAATTCTTAATATATTTTTTGGGATAATTATCAGTATTTAGATTGTGACGGACACTTCCAGTTAAGTAAGCTAAATTAAAAAGTAAAAAAATAATCTGAGACAATAAATACCATTTTATGTGTATAATCTATGACAGCGCTGCAAACAAAAAACTCTTTCTTCCTAATGCCGGCACTTCACTTGGCTATTCGTATTTGCTATTTTATAACATGACATCAGTCTGTCCTTTTCATTCCTTCTTAAGCATGACAAGGACAAACTATTGTCAAGTGAAGGGCCGGCATAAAACTCGATACTCTGTGGTTGTGGTGCAAGCAGGCAGTTTGCATTCGTAGTAATCTGTGGCATTCGTGCATTCAAAGAGAAAAGGTATATAAAGGGAACGTGCATTCTAAAAGAGTAGTATAATATACAGGAAAGTGCATTCTCGTTTGATATTACCTGTTGTGTGTGTTTATTTGCGATTGTTTTTCCTACAATTTAACTATTTCGGCTATCTAATATGCCATCGATGTTACCAAAGAGTTACCTTATTACAAAGTGCTAGTGAACCTGTGCCACAACATCCTGAGAGGATCATACTGCCAAATTATTCAAGAACACCTGATACACCTTCACGCTGCATATTTACACAATATACATGTGATATATAAATAAATACCATATACAATATGATACAATTATGTGAAAAATAATCAATAAATAAGAAGCAAACAGTTTTTATTTTATTCATGATTCCTACCTATCCAAGGTTTTCCTAATAGTTATTCTTTAAAATCGCACCGGATAAAATGAATTAGTTGTAATATTAATTCACTTCATACTAAGTTCATAGGTTGACCTATGTTTCATTGAATATTAAACATAACCTCAAAAAACATTTAGTTTTCCTAATAATTTATGTTCTCAGAAGTGTCCGTCAATAATCTTTGTTTTTACAGTCATTAACATTCGATTCCGAACCTAGAAAATAATATTTCATGATTGTTGGTTCTTAGGCTAACTATGTATGGACGCTGAACAATGTCCTTTTAATGTCAATCAGTCTAGTCATAGATTATTATCAGAATTATTATCACTGCTTTTGTTACACATTGAACATAATATATTTGATGCTTGGCAACAAAAAATAGATAAATAAACTTGCCATTTGCAAATCAATTATTAGATAGATTTATGTTATTTTAATATAAAAAACCGGGATAAAATAAAATTCTAGTTTTTTGCCAAACGATTCACAATTAAGTGCGCTGCATCTCATAAAAACTTGGAGTCTGCCGAAAGACCCACTACCAACCTCCATAAAAAAATTAACAGTCTTCTTTTGTAAAACATTATAAATTACCAAATTATATATTTAAGACACATATGTGAGTAATTTTTTCAAGCAATGGTCTACGGTTGTAAGATTATTTTCTAGCTGCAATATAGGTCATAAATCGGAACGAGACAGCAATATTTCTCTCTCTCTCCCACATATGAGATCGGCGCCATCCTTTTGTTTAAGCGCAGAGATTGCTTGGGCTTATCTATAACCTGCCTTTCATCAGGTGCTTAAGAGGAGTATAACTGCCGATAAAAACACTCAATCTCCCTCAGAATTTCAGTCTTAGATCAAAGGATGATGTCTTTGCAAAATCCACCGTCATGTTGCTTAGATTGTCTAGGTCCAAGCTGTTTTAAGGAACTTGGAATCAATCGAACTTTGTTCGATTTGAAAGGTCTTGTGGATTTGGTGTTGCGCTGTAAGGGTATTTATTGGTCAGTGTACGATCGCCCTATTGAGTGAAACCTTTTTATATTAATGATCATTAATATAATTACATTTAAAATTAATGTAATTAATGATCATTCCTTTAAACCTAAAGCACAAACATATAAAATGACCTTTAAAGAAAAAAAGGTTTTACAATATTTACGAAAATAAAAAGATATTGAAGTATTATCATTGTCACTTGCACCCTTATAACCCACACAATAAAAATACATGTCAGTAGTGCAATATTAGGTTTTGGCTCCTTGTCAATACGAATAAAATAAAAATAAGCATTATACAAATTAAATTTTGATTACTTTTGATTCACTTTTTATTTTCTAAATATCTCCCTTATATCTTATTGTACGAGTACCTTACTAAAAAATCCAAATGTTTAAAAAATTAGCTTTTCTTAAAGGTTACTATCATCTGTCTGCGTCCAGTATTTATAGAGCAATAGACGAAAAACAGTTTTTTTTATTTTTCTGAAAACTTACATTTTTGTAGTTATCTTTTTATTCTCCGGGGACGGCGAAATATCGTTAATTCGAAGAAAAAAGGTAACCTGATATCTTTATAATTTGTTTAGGACTACTTACTGGTTGGAGTCAGTACTTATACAGTATTTAGTTAGTGGCTTTATAATACATAATATTAATTTTATTTTTGTCTGCAATTTTCTACATGACTGTACTGTGCTTAACAAAACTGTTAATAAGGTCCAACTGGCAGTAGGGTATAATCTTGAAGGTCCAATGGGCACTTAAAAAGAGGTCCAATGGGCACATTGAATATAAAATTTTTAAGGAGGTCCAATGGGCACTTTTTGCTTTTGGGTCGAATCTTGAGGGTCCAATGGGTACTAGACTTACAAATCGTCGTTGCTCACTTCTTGTGGCCTGCACCGGCCACTTAATGCGCCGATACAAAACGCGCCGCCATACGTCACTCGCGCGATTCACCACCCCTCTCTCCCTTACCTTAGTCGGCCGCTGTCACGCGCTTCAGCCACTTTAGTAGCCGCTTCTAGCTTCTCGTGGCGGCGTTTGTGGCTGTTTGTAGCGTGTGGCCCGTGTGCGGCGACACTAATAGGTCAGTAACTCAATTGAATAGAGATCGTCAAATAGGACCACATTTTGAGAATCTAATATACCCTCTGCCCACACAAGTGCTCTACATAGATAGAGAGCTATCCTCTTTATCAGACTTTACTAAGTCACTCCTTGTAAAAACAAAATTGCAGTTACATATTAATTAAATTAAATAAATATTGACGAAATTCATTATGCTTACCAGAGTCTTCATTGTTACTTTAAATAAGATGTGGACTATGTCACTACCGTGGTGAAGTGAAGTGGCTTTAAATAGTTACCTACTTTTAATTAACGTTAGCCTGTGATTTTTTCAAGCAGCAAGAAGATATTAAATATACTAATTTTCACAGAATGCGAAATATTGACACAGATTATAATCTAAAACAAATAAATAAATTAGTTAGGTCTTCTAAGCTGGGGAGTGCCTAAAATATAAATAGAGCGCTTTAGTTTTTTTATTTTCTCGCGCAAAGAGAAAATTCCTTGTTCCGAAAATTAATGGATGGATGTCACAATCGAAATGCAAATACATACAACAACCTAACCCCATTATTAATAAACGAAGAATAAGCTTGGATTAGTTACTCCATGTATTGTCGCTGTTTATTGAATGTCAAATGACATTTGAGACAAAGCACGGCTTAAATAGTCATAGCTTATTCCTTTGATTATTATAGTCCGGCCAAATTAGAGATAGAAAAATAAGAGTGAAGGTACATAAATTCACATGATGCTGACAGTGAGTACAAATTGTTCAAAACATTATTAAAAATAACATATCAATAATATATATAATATATTATAATTTTCCCATCGTCCCGGTACATGGAAAAAAAATACTTAAGGTCAAAGGTACAAAAAATGGGAATTTCCACTATTTTCATCAAAACAGTAAGTTTTATCGTTAAATTACCATAGACAACAATTTTAGACCATATAATTATCTATAAAAAGGTATTAATAATTTGTTTTCTAATACCGCCGTTCCGGGGGATAAAACGATTTAAAAATTGTAAGCGTTATAATATGCATAAGTACGTCACGTATCGTTTAGACCTAGGACTTTTGCAACAGTAAATAATTTATTATGGTTGAAATGGAATTTTGTTTTTTATTCTATAAATTGCAATGTTTACCATTTTGTTTCTGTGAATTTTCTAATTTTTTAAACAAGAAATAATATATGAATATATAAATTCTATTTAAATATTGTTATTGAAGTGAAACTTTTTTTCGGACGGAGTGTAAATCCTATGGAAACGATGAAACTGAAACTCTAAGAGATATATGAGTGATGCGTGCACTGCTCCATTCCCCTATGCCTAATGCACCGCCTAATGTTAGGTTATCTAGGAAAAGAAGTTTCACTTCATATGTGTGGTCCATGCTCACAATGTTTTAAATTCAATGTTACCTGAGCGTATCGAAGGCTGTTGGGACTCAGAGCAAGTTGCAAAAAAAATCGGAGGGCGGAACTAACAACTAGCTAAGAATAAAAATTGCATGAAAATACCTATGTTGTTTATATTTCTGTCAGACGCTTGATCGTCGACGGTTTATTACATAAGTTTATCCCTATTTCTCCGCTTGGTAAGTAATTTGGTTAAAAACCTTCAGTTAATTATTACATGCTCAGTTCAATAATGGTTAAAAAAAAATGGATAAAACGCAACATATTTATTATTGGATTGTGATGTTGGTCTTTGACTGAATAAAGCTGAACACAAAGTTAATCCAAGAGCTAACAAGAAAGTTATATTCGTACATACGAATTGTCAATGCCAGTCGTCTTATAATGTGGAATCACCAACAGTAGAGGATTCGTTTGCTACCAAAGACGAGAGAGACATGTGATACATCGCTACTGATGCAAATTCACTTACACCCAGGATGTGAAAGAAGAAGAAGATCAAGAAGAAAAACAAGAAGAAGAAGTAATTGAAGATTATGAATCTGACGAATAAATTTTCCATCGCTTTTATCAATTCCAACCCTTCCTTATATTTGAAAGGAGATACCAAGTTCTTTGTACAGGAGCAAAATATATACCATTGTAAAGTATATACTGCCAGTCTTTAATTCAATTAAATAGCTAGTTGGGTTAATGAGATATTCCTTTTTGAATTTAATTTAAAAATAATAATGAACATTGCATTAGTACCTAATTTGGAACAACTAAATGTCTACAAATTCTATCTATTCTATTATATCTACATAGCAGTCAAAAATATCCAATAATAGCAAGCACGCTGACACGTTGACACACCTACAATCAACATATGGATGGTTGACCAGATGGAGAGTGAAACAGTGTATGCTTTTAATAATTCATGTTATATTTTATTGTAATAATAGGTAATAATATTTTGTCTGAGATTTGGAGTTGTAAATCTTCAATTTATACGTGATTTTTTTCTTACAATTTATTAATAGTCCAGTCAATGAAGGCTTAACTTTGCCATTTTGAGTTGATCACCTGCAACCAACGCGAAAATTTCCGCAAGGGTTCGTAGATTAATATACTAAAATTGCAGGGTCCTGCATTGACGGCAAAGGGTGAAAAAAAAAAATGCCAAATGGTTCAAAAACGAGTTCTTCGTCAATATCTCGCGACTGGCTGGAAAAATAGAAAAAGTTCCTAGTACAAAGTTGTAGAAAATTTAATTTCCTACAAAAACGGTATAAACATATTTTTGCGTATCTCCCATAGTTTTTGCACAAAATGCAATTAATGGTGCAAAACAAAAAAGAAAATATATTGTTAATGTTTTTATTTCTATTTTTAAACGATCCTACGGGTCAAATTCAACAATCACCACTTACTGAAATATTTAAGCATGAGTTTTCGGCAGCCCACTGAAATGAAAATTGACTACCGAAATGGTAAAAAAATGACCACCGAAATGATACAGCCAAGAACATCGCCTTTGTAGTAGAAGGGTTCCCTATTTTGAATTTAAATAAATTTCCTTATTCTTTGTTAATATTTCATTATTTTTTAATAAGAATTATTAATGAAGAATTAATTAATTGTTACACCTATGTACATTTTCGAAATAACAAACAAAGCGCGTTTAGAAAGCGAGAAGTTTATTAGTTAATAAATCGTCCCCTTAGTGCCAAAGCCGATTATCTGCACTTTTCCGCTACTGAACTTTTATAATACCAATCGACCCGTCTCATTAAGCCGCATCTACAGGTAAACCCCATTATGCTCTACGACGCATACTTTCTGAAATAGCTAATAAATAAACAGAATAACTGCAAATTATTTCAAAAATTCTTGATTTAAATTAAACCTAATAAACCCATTTAAAACATTTAAGCTGGTAAATGTATTACCGCTGAAACCAAATTTCGGATTTAAACTCATTTTTCATGTAGACACTTAGAGTAAATATCCTGTGAGTATTCTGTAATTGGCTTTAACTGTTTGAATTTTACCAGATATTTTACTAGATGAAGTAAAAATTAACAGATCTAAGTCGCTTTTTTTCAAAAACAAATATATAGTATATTTGCGTAATGTTTGAGGCAATTGAATAAGATACCGAATTTCAGTTTGTTATTACTTAATAACTTTTATTCAACGCTTTATAAATTACTTCAGCTAAAATCGATTATCGGTGCTTACTCTTTTCTTCCACTACAATTTATTAGCGTTAGACATCGTTACTTTAAAATTTATGCTTCAGCTAAAATCAGCTATCCATGTTTAACCGTCTCTTCCGTACACAGATCGCGCGCTAGGGAGTGAGTTGCTCACTTTTATTCATTTATTGTTGAATCGCGCGCTGGGCAACAATGTTATTTTTTTTTAATTAATCACTAATAAACATTACTGGGTGAACTATTCTGCGTATTTGGTTTAAAATGATAACCACTAAGAAAGATAACGAAAAATAAACTTGATAAAAAAAATGATTTCAATTTAACTTTAACATTTATTTTTATTTCATCGTGTTCAGCGCAAAATTTGCATTTAAAACATATATTTGCAATATGCAATACATATTCTTATACATTATCATATAATAAAATTGAAATCATTTTTTTGTCAAGATTATTATATAAAAAGGTAATAAAAAATGCCCGAAACATATTAATTAAATCCCAATGAATTATGTAGAGGTGAACTCCCCAAGCAAAAAAAAATACACGGCATTGCTCAGAGCGGCAGTGCAATGTGCTGATAAATGATTTTGACTTTTTTTCTTAGTTAAGTAACAACCTTGTCAAAAAGAATTATTGAGTAATGGGCTCTATTCCATAAAATAAAAAAAATAAGAAGTGGCATTTATCACCACGGGAACCTGTCTGAAACCCAATTCCTCTCGTAAAATTACTGTCCCTGTAGTTACATTTATTTTTTCGATTGAAATTAACTTTTATATCATTAATATATAATATAGCCTATTAACAAAACCTACTACTGTTTGTTTACCTTCTTCCTTATACATGTAACAAGCACTCAACTTTTGTCCTGGAAAAGTTATCATTTTTGTGAAATAGGTTCGTCTACATTGCGTTGTTGTGTCCCGTTTGTCAGTGCTCACTTCGAGCCAGTCCGCCTTCGCTGGAGCACATGCACGCGCAACAACGTCATTGTGGATTCTCGCCAAATAGTAAGTATATCATTTCAGTGATATGGGGACAATTGATTCGGTGGACAGTAATGCCGATAAGAGTCCAGGGAATGTAAGTATCGCCGAAATGATACATCCATAATTTTTTAGAGATCCTTGAGTCAATATAGGTATATTAAATAGTTTCGGTTTATGATGTACATTTATCTAGATACTGTAGGTTCGATATTTCGGGTGCAGTAGTATTTCTATCTAAAATATCTAGTTTAAAAATGTATATTAAAGTTAAAGCGGACGAATTCGTTGGCGGCCGATAGTATTCCTAATTAAATAAGTGTAAAAAAATCAGTATTATTCATCTGCACTTGACTCGCTTTCACATGATGAGTCATCAGAATGGTTTCTGAAGGAAAACGATCAGATTGGCTTGTTTTTGTAGCCAAAGATCTGTATAATCCATGGTACTCTTCAGGTATGACACCTTTGTTGCACAAATCATCAAGATCTTTTTTCTTTGCTATAGATATTTTTTTTATAAATAGGTTCGACAAATGACTCCACCAGAGGTTAGGTGACGGAGGAGTCTAGACGCGAAGATAGCTGGTACAGCAGTATTACTTGCCACACCAGCTATCCTCATTTTGCCGGCCTGCAGAATTACTACTTCACACACGTAAGAGGGCAAAGTAATCCATTTGCGGATAGTCTGACAAAGAAATGAGTTACCAAATTTCTTTGTTCACGTTGGAATAGTGGGAATAGTAGTTCACAGTTAGTCGGTTACAACGTAGG